TTGTAAATGTTTTATGGATCTCAAAGTACTGGAAAGGAAGCTTCCATTCAAAGGCGATTTGTTAAAAAAAAACAAAAAAAAAACCAAAAAAAAAACCCCTGTAATTGTTATTTCTTTGTCCATTTGAAATATGTAAGTTGTCCAGTAACAACTCATCCTATCAATGTAGCCGTTGTCTACATGGTTGAGCTTCTGGAACAAAGAACTCAATGGAACAATAAAAAAAAAAGAAATGGACTAGATATAACCAGTAAGTTTAATTTGAAGTCTCATCTAAATATGCTGAAGACGGAGAAAAAGACTATCAAAGAAAAGTTAGGAGACACCGAGAAAGGATCATATTGAAGATGGCAATGTGAAGATGGCAACTGTGAAGACACATCACACACTTTGTGGTTTATTTCCAGGCCTGCGACCTCTGCCCTCTCCTCTTTTCCCCTGCTTCCCTCCTTCTTTGCAACAGCCCTTCAGTTTGGGGTGACTTATTAAGAGTAGATGTGAAGATCTCAGGCCATGACTTGTGGGATTACTGCTGTTTGTTGGGGGGTGCTTTGTCTGCACCCCCTAATTTCTGTTAAGTCTTTGGGTCCCCTCTTCCAAGCCATTGTCACTTCCCCACTCTCCACTACCACCACTTGGTGAAAGCACAGATTGTAACTCTTTGTTCCCTCTGAAATTGGTGAGGAATTTGGGGCTTTTTCCATAGCTTTCTCTGTTGCCCCCCAGCTTTATGGAGTAGTGCTGCTTTCTTTCTCCTTCTTTTCAAGCTCCTTGTCACACCATCATCACCCAACACTTATGACACTTTGTTTTGGCCAGAGCCTTTAGAAAAGACTGGCAAATCCCTGCCCTCCCTAGTTCAGCTTTTGTGTCACATTTTATGCTCCAAGACTGAGGAATGAATATTGCATTTTGGCCCTGCTAACCTCTGCTGTCATCATCTGCTCGTTTGTTTTCAGTTCAGGTTTTGATAAGGTAAAAAGAACAGTAGAACAGTCAGTTCTAAGAATCCTCGGTTACACTTAGAGAAAGGCCAAGACACTTGTAAGTACACACGGACACTGACTTTTCTTATAATTGCTTTTTTAAAATAGAAGCTTAAACAAGATTCATTTGGTCATCTTTGTAATCCATTTGGGTCCCGCAGATTTCTCTGAGGTTTGGAATCTGACAACTGGAAGCAGAGAACCTTGCTTCAATCTATTCTTTCACATTGGTGCTGTTGCTTCTCACTGTCCTCAGCAGGGATTAAGAATTTGGTTTGCAAGTTAAAACCACAATGAGATACCACCTCACCCCAGTGAGAATGGCACATCTTCAAACAACTAGCATCAACAAATGTTGGCAAGGATGTGGAGAAAAAGGAATGCTCCTACACTGCTGGTGGGAATGCAAACTAGTACAACCACTATGGAAAACTGTTTGGAGATTCCTCAAACTGCTAAACATGGAGCTTCCCTTCGACCCAGCATTCCCACTCCTAGGTATCTACCCAAAAGACACAAAAACACTGATTCAAAAAGACAACTGCACCTCATGTGTATTGCTACTTTATTCACAATTGGAAAAACATCGAACAGCCCAAATGCCCAGAAATGGATGACTGGATTAAAAAGATGTGGTACATATACACAATGGAGTATTACTCAGCAACCCCCCCTCCAAAAAAAATGCCTTTTGCAGCAACATGGATGGAACTGGAAAAGATCATGCTTAGTGAAATAAGCCAGAAAGAAAAGGAAAAAATACTGATGGTTTCTCTCATAGCATAAATATAACGGAACAGGCAAAAAATAGTGATAATGATGAATAGCTATATACCAGAGACATTTTGTGGGGGTGGAGAGGGGAATGGGGTCAAAAATAGCTGAGGGAGTTAATGCCACTGGACTATGGTGATGGCACATTGGTAATTTGGTGATGGAAAACCCAGGGGATTGCAACTGAGATGGAAAAATGCACAAAAATATGTAAAAATAAACTTTTTTTTTTAAAGAAAGAATTTGGTTTGCACCACAGAACCCTGACTTGACTTGCTAGCAAATTGCTGCGTTTTCCCACTGAATTGCAGATGCATACCGAAATAAAAGCAATTCAAGTAACACTATGGGAATTCTATAGACTTAACTCTAATTGATTAACTTTGAAGTGTGTGTGGAGGAGGGGCGCGGAGGGACACCTTGAAAACCTCAAAATGCACATCCTGACATCTAGCTGTGGTGGAGCAGGTGAGTCCCTCAGAGATCTGCTTATTCATGGTATCAAAACGGTTAAAGACCCTCCATTTTATATCTGTAAACATTTTATTAACGATGCTTTGATAATTGCAGTATGTGAAGTCTTTGTCTCACCATGTACTTACACTCAAATTTAATCTTTTCTGTAGTATGTTTTCACTTTGCATTAGATTTTTTAAAACAAAGTTAATATATAGTGAATAAATTTACATGCAATGTATACAGCTGTCTAGCCACTACTCATGTCAACATGTAGGAAATCTCTGCCACTCCAGGTAAGTGCACAAGTTCCCTCACAAGTCACAAGTCAATTCCTCTTCCCTACCTCTAGGTAAACACTAATTGGACTTTTCACAATGACTGGTTTTGCCTGAATTGACTATGTTATCATTCTTGCCAGGTTTCTCTCAGCTAGTGTGTATTTAGTGCTCATCTATGCATCATAGTCATGGTTTTTTGCTTGCCATGTAGCACTCCTTTGCATGAATACATTAGTTGACCTGTTCTTAACGACCAGTTAGCAGAGATGCTGTGAACAGCTGTAGATACTTTCATTTCTTTTGAGAACTGCAGTAATTCTGGCTTGTAAAGTGAATCCCGGTTAAACTCAGAAACCATCATTTTGAAGTTGCTGGGTCACTTTACACTCTCACAGCAAAACAGTTCATACTTATCCAATTAACACATTTAGCACCATTTCTTATTACTCCCCATTGTTTCGTTCTGAGCCACTAAGAGCTTTCCTTTTAAGAGTTTTGTTTTAGTTGTTCCAGCTTCTTCCCAAGAGCTGATGACTTAGTGTAGTAAATAAACACAGGACTGAGATTCAGAACACCAAAATGAAAAAGCCCATTTGTGACTAGTATCCCTGTAAATGCCACTTGTCAAAGGCTGCTGGTAAAAACTCAAGAAATCATTGTTTAAACAAAGCATGCTAACAGTTTAAATTACTAAATTGAACTCAATTATATATTTAGATAGTAATTGACAGTGGGGTGCAAAAAAAAAGGAAACCCAATTACACTGCTTGAATTTTTAAATTTGTATAGATGTCACATTTGAATCTCAAGAAATCAAACTCACAAACTCCTTTATCACAGCTCCTGACAGAATTCAAACAAGCAAAAGAAAACATAACCTAGGAAGGCATGAAGCAAATCAAAGAATTAGGCTCTAATTTTTCAGATGTTCTTTGTAAATGAATGATACATGATACGTTCTGGCCATAAAGATCAACAAACCTATGGAAAAACAGAAATTTCTTACAGAATGTTATTTGATCTTTTGATTCCTAGATATCATTAGTTCTAGCTGATGTGTTCAAGAAGTTTTGCTAAATAAAAGTCAATGAACCTAACAATTAACTTGAATGAAGACATGAATTCTGTAATACAGATAATCCAAGTCTGGTACATTTTCATTATGCCAAAGTATTAAGAGGTACATAGGAAAAAAAGCCCACCATATATTTTCTTAAGCATATTTTAATTTTTTGAATTTTGACAATTCAGCTAGTTAACATAAATACAAGAGTAAATGCACATAATTTACAGCCATGTACAGAAATGCAAGAATAGCAAACCTCCCATAAATGTTCAAAAGATATAAGCTCTTTTGAAGCCGATTACTTAGCTATGACTGGCAGGCCATAATTAAATGTTCACATATGCAGGGGGTACACATTCAAAATGTTTATCAACACAAAAGCTGAGTGAAACTAGAACTTTCAGTTTCTAGAAGGAGGAGCAGAAAAATCAGTTTTTAGATTAACAAATATAATGGCATGATGAAGACGTTTGGGCAGAAAGTATGTTAAGTCCATTTATATAATTAAAATCTCTTTCAATTTAAATCTTCCAGACATATGCATATTCCCAGGAATGTTAAAGTCATGATCAATATTAAAGGCTGAACTTGGATTTATCAGCCCTTAAAGGGGTCCCTCTAGTACTAACAGTTTGGGCAGAAGAACATGGAAACAAGTTTAGGAAAAATGTTCCAAGAGTAAATAACAGATGGATTTCTAGCACTTAAGTCTTTCAGGTTCAAGTCAGTTTGACTTCAAACAAAATTAATTTGTTTGACTTCAAACAAATCTAAAAATGATGACGTGTCATACCCCAGCAGTGTTAAGAGTAAACACTCAATTTTTCTAACCATGCAAAGCCTGCTGGCCCTAATATAATAATGCTACTCACAATGGGCATGTTTTAGGAGATGAAAGACTGGATTAAATAACCTAATGATATTCTCCCTTGGTTTCAAAATTACATATCAATCACTTGTGGCCCCTAGATCTAGTAAGGTTGGTTCCACAAAAATTACATACATGATGAAAACTAAGATCAAGCTTTGGTGATAGTTTCTTTTCCAAGATTTAAAAGCGGTTCCCCTGAACCAGAGGGTTGGCAAATCTCAATTTGGACTCTGAAATGTGGGAAACTGTTTCTCAGAGCCACAGTTCCCAGGGTACTAACCACTACTCCATGTCTGCATGTGCTTTCAGGATCTACTGCTCTAGCCTGAATGAGTTCAATTTCATTTTCTGAGAAAATTTTATAATAAAAGCACATACCCATCTGAAAAGTGACTTCTATACTAGAAATAAAAAGGTACCTGATAGAAAGCAGATGAAAACAAAATATACCTTAAAAAGAGTAATGCTTTGAGTATGTTTTTCTTTGAAAACATCTATGTCAACTGAAAACAAATCTCCAAAGAAATATTTCAGAGAGGAACTTTATATACAACTTTTACATATAGTTGTTTTTTTTTTTTAAATTTTTAGTATCACACTTCAAGTAAACTGTTTGTTGGGGGGGGGAGGGGTAGGCAACTTGTTCCTTTCCAGTTGTTGCACAAAGAAACAAAGTCTAGGACTCTTAAGATCTTTTTCCTTCCAATACATACATAACACTTTTAAAAGCTGAATTTGATGTACTAAAGGTCAACAGAAATTTTACTTGCTAAAAAACAGGAACAGAAAGAATACATGTTCATCTATGAAGGACACTTGTTATGAATTTGCTACAACTAAATGTAAAATGTTCCTTAGCTGCTGGTTTTCATATCATTCTTAATCAATGTGGGACACTGAGATCATTAGGAGTAGGGAGAATCTTTGTCCTGCATTCAACACAACTAGTGTTTACAGATCACCACAAGGCAAATGGCACTGTGTTAGGCAGTGTAAGTGGCACCTGAAAAGGTAAACACTATAGATTGAGACTTTCTCTACAAAATTAAATTAAAAACCCACTACTGGCTGTCTTTTTTCTTTTTCTTTTTGGCATGTTCCTCAAATAAATGTCAAAGCTGAAATTCACCACAGAGGGTTTGAGTAATTCCAAAGGTAATGAAACTGTATTTGCCTTTGGTCTCCAAACAGACTGGAATATTTTTAATTCCAATCAAAGCACCTCAAAAACATCCAGTTACTGTTGATTACAAGGAAGTTAAGAAGGTAGAGGAATTTAGGAGGACACTGTTTCATTGGTGACGATAAAGAAAGCTTACAAATGACACATTACAATTTTAGGGGCACTACAGAGTACACAGAATATATAACACGTTTATACTGAAGATCTTCAAAACATACCTAAAGCCCAGAAAAAATGTCATGAACACTGTTTCTGCCTAATACATGACCAATCTTTAAAAAAAATCTTAACATGAAATTCTCTCCTACTCTCACACCTCCTTCCTAAAAGAAGGCCACAAAGTGCATTCACTACGAGTCATTAAGATAAAGCCACTGCACAAAATGTACATTTTGGGTATACAAAATGAGTACCACACTGGAGTTTAGTTATAGAGGCTTTATATACCAGTATAGCAACATCCATAAGGAAAAGTCCTTAACAGAATTACAGAAACATCTCCATGAGGGCCATTCATACAATACATTGAAAGTATTAAAAGGTGCAGTTGAACTCAACAGCATATTGTAAAAGTGATCTCCTATTAGCACACTTATCTGAATCAATGTGGATCTATGATTTCCATTCAAGAAATTAGGACAGAATAAATTTTTTGTCAAAGGCAATTTATTCATTTATAAAGCCCTAACGTGATAAGGATCACAACCTGTTCCTACAGCACAGGGCTCCTTTTCTACAAGGTTTATAACTGCTCCGGGTTATTTCTACTACCACCTTTAAAAGTGTGTAAAGGCCAAACTGAAAATTACCATTTCCTCTGGAAAATAAAGGCAATCTATACAGATCTTTGGAAGTAATTAAAAAGTTCATATTTTTGATATGAAAGCAAACAGAGAAATGTTCACAAGTGGTAAACTTTTCCATTAAGAAAATGACAACCTAGGTATAGACAAGTGAGAATTTAAATTCATAAGTAATCAGTCACTGAAAAGACATCCTGGTGAGTCATGTATCATAAAGTTAGCAAATGTGAATACATGCACAAGTCACTGAAGTGACCTAGAATCAACATTTTATTGGTCTATTTTGTCTGAAACTATTGCCATTTAAATTTGATATAATACTAATGTAAATGTCCAAGTTATGTGTAACACTAAGCACCTGTTTGCATGGAAACCAAAATATTTTAAAGCTAAAAATACAAAAGATCTTTAGACAGTATTTCATTGGTTGTCAAAGAGACTAATGCCAAATAATTACTTTAAAACTACTGTGGTGCCTGATTCTTTTAAGAAAAGGGGAAAGTAATACTGAATTACTGTTGCTATTTTGCAATTTATAGGACTTAAACAGAAGCCAGAAGGTAGAAATGTGTAACTGCCTTTGGATAGTGATGGCACAGTCTGCAAAAAGGATGGTTTTGTTTAGAAGACTGGAGAAGTGCTCGTGAGATAAACACTGTGTGCTGACTGCCACAAATCAACAAAATGCAACTGTGTCTCCTGTGGACATGGTAGAGAAAATGGCAATTTTGAGGAAGGAGTGCTTCTAAAGGCATTTCCTTGGAGGCAGTCAAGTTTTTTCCCCCCACACTACTAAAAGTCTGAGTAATGCGGCATGATTTATTCCTACAACCAAACTTCCACTTAGGCATAGTTACATGTTCCCAAACTATTTTCCTTCTGTCCACCATGCTGGTTTCGCTATTCCATGGTCCACTGTAATCTTTTGGTCTTCCCTCTTTGTATTATGGCAGCCGGATGTTGCTATCCATTAAGTAGGTAGACCACCAGTTCATAAGTGGCCATCATAATGGCTGTGTTTGGAATCTGTCTCACCAGATGAGTTGTTAGACCACGGTAAAGAGACCCATAACCTTCTTCTTGAACAACCAACGACAGTGTCTGAAATAAAGATCTATATTTTGTTCCTTCTTCACGTAGTCTTGTTCTTACAACTTCTGTTTAGGAAAAAAAAAAAAAAACATTTAACTTAAATATTAGTTGTATCTTTACAGCACTCCAAATCCTGAGCACAATTCCACTCACCAGTCTGTAAGCATAAGCTTAGCATAAATAAGGAATGGTTTTTCATCTATAACATACTGAAACCAATCATATTAGAGTAACACCAAGCATAGAAGATCACTAACTAAGATCATGGATACCAATTATAAAATTTTATAGCGGTTCCTGAATGTTTTAAGATGGAATGAAAACAAAAGCATCACTTGTATACTAGGTATCAATGAAAAGGTGGATAGATGGGAGAAGAAAAAGGTGAAACACTAGTAACTGAAATGGAGGTGATATCACAAATGAATACAAAATGATACAGTAAAAAAATAAGCAGAAATGACTTACACAGAGTACAATGAAAAAACAGAATCACTAATTTATTCACAATGGTCCACACATACCAACATGAAATTTCATATCAATAAACCTAAAATGTTTAAATACTAGCTGCCAGCTAAAGTCCCATCTCAGAAATAAGCAAGACAAAACATAAGAAAGGAAGCTTAGGGCTCTACCGTGTTAAAGCACCACATGATGAAGCTCTCGGAAGCCACTGCAGCAGCAGCTCCATCCCCCGCCAGGTAGTTGACCCACAAGGTGTGGCAGACCTCTCTTGACCCACCCGGGAGCAGTGGTATGTTTCAGTAGATCTGCCTACTCTGCTCCCCACTCTGTCTCTGGTGAATCCTCTCATCTACCACACCTCTGGTCTGTACCCCAGTTCTGTAAGCATAAATAAATCTTTAAAAAAAATGAAAGCTTAAAGATATCTTACGATGTTTAAAGATTGCATTTGATCCATTTTTTTTTCTTCTTCAAAAAAATAAGGAAATCTGGGCCAATGGGAGTAAAGTTTTAGTCAGCTGTGGGCAGAGGCTAGGGCAACAGTTTTATTTCTTACAGTTCCTTCTTATTCTTTGCATTTCCACTATTTTTCAAAAGTTTCAACATAATATACCTGATGAAAATGGCCTACAGTCATTTTCACAGTAAATATAAACATCTGAAATCTTGTTTCCTGTCTTAAAAATTCATGCCATTTATATACATTCTATTCCAAAATATCTTGCCTAAAAAATACTTTACCTCTTCTATTAATAACACCTCACTTGAATAGATGGGATACTTAAAACTCCTGAAAATTTTCTCACTTAGGAGGTGGCCATCCTGGTCTTCCATAAAAGCCAGAACCCAAGACAAATTGCTGAAACTGCCCTCTTCTGACTCCTCTAAGGAGGCTGGGAATGGGGTTAGTTCACAGTTCAACTTGGCTAGTTAGTGAAACTCTTTCATTAAAAGAGTTGGTAAAACTTTTAATTACATTGTAAAGCAAATACTCATTTCTTAGCCCTGTTTCATTTTTTCCTGCTATTATTTTAGTTCATCAGTACAATGAAAGTACAATACTTAGATGGAAAAAAAAAAAAAACCAACAAACTAAAAATTCAAACATACCAACAATCAAAAACTACATATAAAGAAAGATGGAGAAAAGAACTGCAAAAATCCTGTGTATTAACCGAATTCTTAAGTGCTTTCCTTGATCATCAATAAATCAGGCTGAAGTCGCAAAATTTAAAGACAGAAATAAGATGAATTGTTTACCTATATTTATCTGTTGACATGAAATAGTACCAAAAAAGTTGGTTTGAGGGATTATAGACTATTTCAAATTAGGGCTCTACACCAAATAGACTATGTGACTTTGAGCAAGTTAAATTTGTTCCCCTTTTGAGACAGAGGACAAGTGTGGTCATGTTCTAGCATAAAATTATCTTTAAATAGAGAATTACAGGATTTTAATGCAGATAAGCAATAAAGCCATACTTTAAAAAATAAAAAAAGGCCCTCCCTGGTGGCGCAGCGGGTTAAAGCACTGCACCGAGAAGCTAAAGCCACTTCCGCATGAGTTCGATTCCCACCTGCCCCGGAGGTGACCATATGGCGTGGCAGACCTCTCCTGACCTGCCCGCTGCTCCCCTCAGCAGTGTACTTCATCGATCTGCCTGTTCTGCTCCCCACTCTGTCTCTGGTGAAGCCTCTCACTGTCCCTGAGCCTCTGGCCTGTACCCCAGTTCAGTATGCATAAATAAATAAATCTTTAGGGAAAAAAAAAACTATGCTTAAAAAAAAAAAGTAACTTGCCCAAAGAATACCTAGCCAGAATTTGACTAATTCCTGAACTAGAGCTCATGATAAGTTACCACCAACTTAATACAGTCGATTAGGCTATACCAACCTATTAAAATAGCCTTATGTTACTTACACAGATTTAATTACATGATGATGAACTCCCAAGAACAGTATTTTGTTTACTGGAACCCAGCAATTTATAAATACTCTAGCAAGCCAAGCTGTTGGTTGGGTGGGAATAAAAATTCTAAACAGCACATTACTCTCATAAACCAGTCCTCTTACCGTGGGGATATGCGATAGTTGTGGCACAGGTTTTTGAGGTGGCAGCAGCTAGCATCATTCCCACAAAATCAGATGCTTCTTTTACAGACTCTTCATCATTTTCCATTGTTGAAGCAGTTTTATATTCCAGTAGTTTTTGCTTAATACTTTCATAAATAACAAAATGGATAACAGTCTCTGATATGCCAGCGTATGACGCAGACATGCCCCTATAAAATCCTCTAAGTCCATCTGTCTGATACACTCTACCAACGCATTCAAAAGCTCCCATTCGCTTTTCCCCACGGTTCCTAAAAAGGAAAAACACACAAAGTCTTATTAAATGAACATAGACAAGTAATACAGGCTGTTAAATAAGGCAAATAAAATATAGTAAAAATGATATTGTAATAAAAAATGACCCTCTAGCTCATGAAGTGAAATAAAAATTTTAAAACATTCATTTTAGATTTCCTATTCTTTGCCCCAAATTTGAAATATTTGTAGTTTACTGGATAGAAAATATACTACATTGAATCTTCAATTCCACATCTACAAATATTAAGCATTTGCTGAGCACTGTGTCCAGGAAACATTCTTCAGTGTTCCTTAAGGGTACAGTTTATATACACATAGAATTTTGATTTTGGAAAAATATTTATACCTTATACCATCTTTCCCCGCAATAGGATCTTATCTATAAGAAATGGATTTCAGTGATATAGATACCTAAGGGGGCCTTCCAGTGGCGCAGGGGTTAAGTCTCAGCACTATCAAGCTGATAGTGGCATAAGTTCAGCATAAGTTTGATCCCCAGCCAGTTAGTTGACCCACATGGTGCAGCAGGCCTCTCCTGTCTTGCCTGCTACTCTCCTGAACAGTGTATTTCTGCTCCTCACTCTGTCTCTGATGAATCTTCTCGTCCCCATCTCTGGCCTACACCCCAGCTCTTGTATGCATAAATAAATAAAATAAACCTTTAAAAAAATTAAAACAGGGCCCTCCCTGGTGGCACAGCAGGTTAAAGCACAGCACTAAAAAGCTAAAGCCACTTCCGCAAGAGTTTGATCCCCGCCTGCCCTGGAGGTGATTGATCCACATGGTGTGGCAGACCTCTCCTGACCCGCCAGCTGCTTCCCTCAGCAGTGTACTTTGTCGATCTGTTCTGCGCCCCACTCTGTCTCTGGTGAACCCTCTCACTGCCCCTGCACCTCTGACCTGTGCCCCACTTCTGTATGCACAAATAAATCTTTAAAAAAAAGAAAAATCTAAAATGCAAAGTTTTAAGCCATTATTATACCAGATGGGATCACCTCTCTACCTTTTCTCCATGCTCCATTCTAAAGGCCAACAAGTAGAGGTGGCAAAACTCTTAAACTGTGCTGCTTTGACCTTCTCAAAGTTCCCAAAATATGCTAAGACCCTATGCTTAGGACTTACAAAGTTGCACTGACTGTCCTCTCTTTGCTTCAAGTGAGCTAAAAACAACAAAAAAAATTCCTTGCCTATTCCTTTTAAAGTCAATCCCCACTCTTTCCTAGTATATCTATAGTACCTAGCAATGTCTGTTCAATAGAGATTTATTGAATGAATATTACTACCTTAAAGTAGTCAGAGGAAAAACAGATGGAAGTTTACAAATATGAGGTAAACCCCACACTAGAACTCTTTCTATAAGGCTACCTAATTTGACCAATGATTCTCAATGCTTCAGTCTGTATAGGTTGATTATGTGGGTTAACAAGTTGTTGGGAGGCTGATTATAATCACCTATCTAGTGAAAGTATCACTCCTTGGGCTAAGTTAATATTCTCTTTTCTTTTTCTTCATTAAACATACAGACTTCACAAAAAACACCTTCTTTCCCATCAATTATCATCTTTTTTGCTTCTAATGGCAGACTAGTTTGAAAAATAAAACAAACAAAAAACAAATTCACTGAATAGAAATTCTCACGGACAGAAACTTAGAGAATAAAATTAGTTGGAACCAACTTTATTTTAACGAACCAACATACCTTGCATCAAGTTGTAATCGAGTCTTTATAAGCCAAATGGGATTGGTTGCTGTGATTGCAGTAAAACCTAAACAAACATGTTTAAAATGAACTCAAGTAAAAATTAAGAAAACACTATTAACTTTAAGATCTTTAAATTACATTAAAGAAAATGTACATAATATTTAAGCTATTAATTGGTGTATGCTTTACACTTTTATCTTACAAATTCATGACCATGAAAATTTATATTTTTAATCTACATCCTCAAATTCTAACCTTAACTAAAAGAATATTTTAAGAGCAAAATCTGCTTATATAAATATATAGATATAAATATTCAGAATATCTCTGGGGGCATCCTGACTTTCTAAGCTGAATTCAAAAACCCATTGCTAAGGACAAAATTAGAAATTTTATGTATTTCAAACGTTTTAGCATGCAAACTCTTAAAGCTGCTACTTGGGGGCCAATTGTCATCACAAATCACTATGTTCAAAACGGATTCTATATAAATTTCAGCATTTACTAATATCTGACCATAAATTGATTGTGTATCAGAATCTGTTTAGACTTATGAATACTTTATAATAAACATACACTTGGCTACTATTGTTAAAATAATGGTATCATAGAGAAAAGTTTTTGTTATAATTTATAGGACAGATCTGGTTTTTATCCATTTGAACACATAAACTCAAAAGTTCAAAAAAATTACAAATTGGAACTTCCCTCTCATTTTTACAGACACTGAAAAAGGAAACTCAGGAGAGAAGGTAGTTCTAAGTTGAGTTTAAAACCAATCATGATACACCATCAGTGCAAAAGGATGGTCACCTAAGATGGCTCACTACAGGTAGTAAATTAAGATCCCTGGACAGTATGTTTCTAGGCTAGTAGTTATATCTTTTACTTGCTGTCACCCTGGTGTTATGAAAAAATAGCAGACTATCAAATGCAATCTTACTGATGGGAACCTGGGAAGACTGCTTCATCTATCCAAAAATGGTTTTAATCTATCTTTAAAACTTCACAGAACTACTTACATCAAGCTAAGCTTATTCAACTGGACTTTAAATTTGATGAACAGTTACATGCAGAAATGTGTAAAGATATTAACTGTTTTATTATTTTCTATCAAATACTAGTAGATCAAGCATTGTTTTTAGAAAGGTCGAATGTAATTAGCACATTTACTATGATTAAAGACTTTCAGGAACAAAAAATGCTATGGTGCACTTAATTTTCTTTTAAAGTTAACATAGTGCAGAAGCAATCATGGCCTTTCTTGGCTTTCAAAGTTAGTATGGGTACATCTAAAAATGCAAAATTATTTACTACATTGTTTACAAGTAAAAATTTAGTTTCACAGTTCCTTCCTTTCTATAATGACAGATAATTAGCTAACTCAAATTTTACTGCCTTAATCCACTGTTTTAAAACTATAGGACAGCCAGATGTTTCACAAAGAGATGTTCAAATTATATTTATCTATCTATCAACAAGATAAATGAAATAAAAGTCTGGTTTGGTAACTCTACTAGTTCTGTAATGGTTACATAGTCTTTCTTTTAAATGTTTTTAACACTATACACATACATCTAAAACTGAAATGGGAAAAACAATTTGTAAGCATCAGTCAATATTAAAATAATAAAAATTTAAGGTTTGGGGCAGGTTACCAGGAACATTTTAAAATAAAAGATAGTATGTATATATATATTCTTGATTAAAGGGAAGAAACCAAAAATACAAAACTATCAGAACAGTTTAAATATTTGTTTGAAAAAGGTTTTTCTTACATGCATGGCATAACTGAGAATAAGGTTATATATATTTTTTTCTTTAGAATCTGATTTTTTAAGAGAAGAAAATCAAACTAAAGATATTCAAATCATATTTTAAAGTAAGTATGTAACATTCATCAGTATTTTTGTCATATTTCTAATGAGCCTTATTTTAAAGCTTATTTGCATTAGCTAAATATCTGTACAGAAATATTAGGGGTTTAGTAGTCAAAAGTCATTTAGCAGCACAAAAGAACAAAATATTCTGCATTATTCACAATGATTCTCTATTAATCATTTCTGAAAATTTTAATTTGAGAAAAATATTTGCTTTTTATTAAACTTTGAAAACCTAAAACTGGGAATCCTTATATAAAATTAAAAAAATTAAAAACTTATCTAGGTAAAACTCTCAATCTATTGCAGTTTTATCTGAAAAAGTGAGCAAAGTTTTCTTTTAAACTTAGTATCCAACCTTACTACTTTCCCAAGTCACAAATTCCTCAATTAGAGGTTGAAAAAAATCTTCATACATATATTATAACATTTATAACTGCTACTAGGAATAAACTTTTAAAGTACCTATAAATTATAGTTATTCTTTATACATATTAATAAATAACAACAGGAAGCAAACAGGTATTGCTCACTTAACCAAGATTCATTTCCAGACATAAATTAACTTATGGAACAGGACACATTAAAATTTAGGTAACTGAGAGAACATTCTCACTTATTCCTATAATCAGTAGCCTGCATTTACTATAGTTATTTTGGGTTCCCAACAATAAGCTAGCTCTTAATAAAGATGATAATCTAACTGCCAGCAAACCATAAAGTGAAGAATCAAGGCATAATCCCCAGTAATAAACTAGCTCTTAATAAAGACACTAATCTAACTGCCAGCAAACCATTCAGTTAAAGCATCAAGGCATAATCCATAGATTTTTAGCTAGTGGTCCTTAACCAGTTAAAACTCTTAATTCCTTGAGTTTTATGCTATTTCACCTAAGCAAAGACACTCAAACTAAGTAGGCATTATTAAGCTGGAATCTATTAATTAAATCTGGGAATCTATTAATTAAAAAATGAAGCTAATGGGAAGAAACAAACATATTATTTAGTATTATATATAGTAAGGCAATTTGAAATTGACAAATAGCCAAAACTAAACATATCTTTCTACGACTTCTGAGACATACATACTTCTAAGATAAAGATATTGGGAATTCTAAATCCCTAAAATTTAAAAATTTCCTACTACTTTTAATGGTGGCATTGTGACACTTTGATAATATGCTAACTCATACCAATATTCTGAACACCGAGTTCAACATTAAAACTGACATAGAGGTATAGGAAGATCTTTTTGAAGGTGAAGAAGAATTAAGATAGCCTAGAATCAGTTAGAGCAAAGTGACCATACTGTTAGTAGTGTGGTTAGTACTTTATTAAAAAGTGTTCAAACACTTTTAAAATGCAATTTTTTAAGTTTTACTTCATCTAAGACCCCCATCTGAAAATGTAAATCAATCAAATGTAAATCAAATGTTTAATGTAATGTAGAAACATTAAAATAAATCCTGTCTAAAGTAAACTTGCTGAAAATGTCCATTTCATTAAGTGAGTGATACCTGTATTAATGCATTTTCCAGAATTTTTTATTTCGATTAACTTCAGAAAGAACAAAGCCCACCTAGCCTTCTAAGAGAAATGTATTAAACCACCCCCCAAACTCCCACACATCTAATTAAAACTAAAACAGCTAAGATCTTGTATATTACTATCCTGCATTTATTTGGAAAGTAATGGTACAACATTAAGATCAATGTTTTTGCAGGAGAGTAAAAGTCAAGTATCAACAGAGTGGAAAGCACGGTGATAAGATTTTTTAAAATGTTATGCTGAGTAAAAAGCATTACTATTCTTTTCTAAAGGTCGCAGGATGGTCTGATATCACTTAAAACTATGTATATAAAAAACTATTCTCAAATTCTTTGGAGAGCAGGGCTATATGGCCTAGTAGAATACCCCAGGCTTTTATTATACAGTGACTAAAGAGTTATCCCATCCATCCTTCTAAAAGGAATATTATGAAAGGGTCAAACTTAAAATACTCAATGCACACACAAATTCAGGAAATAAAGAGTTCATTTCCCGCCTTTTATTAATTCCATAACTATTATAAAATCCCAGGGTGTGTTCTTATACTAGAGGCTGCAAGAGATGCTCAGATCAGTACTCACGAGGTTTAAGTTAGTCCATATTTCTACAGGAAGTGACCTGCGGATGGGGAGCATGAGATGACACGATCTCACTCTTTTCTCGGGAGAAATGTACAGTAAATGCCTAAAATAGACACAGGCTTTTCTGTATCATAACAACAAGCAGTGACCTCATCAGAAACATGTGTACAAAATGAATCCCATTGGAAGGATTTGAGAAATATTTACTGTGAGATCTAAATTTTTTGAAAATTTAAAGTTAAAAAAGAAAAAGAAATATCAGAATGGGCCTTAACTTTTTTTAAAAAATGCACCGAGTACTGAAAATTCTGCCACCTGCAGCAGTTTCAGAGTCCACATACTTACCTAAAAGAAGACCATTTACTTTAAAGAAAAAATGCTAACCTTGTCAATGGGAAATCTAAGAAAGTATTTAGAGGGGATATTCATATCCCATTATTCTTCCATTATTATCTATGGCAATCAGAGTTGAAATAACAATGTTTTATTTAATAATAAGCTTATTCAGTAAATCTTTACCCCCCCAACACCCTATTCAAGTAACTTCATTTGGTAACTATAATTACTTTTATAAAATAAAGTATATGTCACTACAATAGTACCTTTCACCTTTTGCACTATTGCCAGTAATATTGCACATCCATTTTTATGGAATATTTTGGATTATTTTCTACTTAATTTCTTGTGTTCTACAAAACAAAAAACAGGAAGAATGTTTACACACAAACACACAGAACATCTGTCAAACCAGCCATTGGGCTGAACGAACGGCCATGGACAAATAAAATATTCTAAAAAGTATTTCATATTTTTAAGACAAAATTTCTATCAAATGAGTCAAGTCGTAACCATTAATAATAAACTGAGTCAAATAGAAAAATGTATCTTGAAAAATAACAGTGAGTGCTAATAAGCAAATAAAACCCAGTAGGTATATAGTAAATGCTAAATAATTACAATATTTATATTGAAAAAACTGAGCAATAACTTTGAGTATAGTCCAATAAAATTAATTTCCTTAAAATCTGTAATGTGATATACAAAAAAGTATACACTCTTGAAAATTGCAAATTAAAGAAAAAGTAAGTGTATAATACTATTTTTTGTATACACATTTGTATCTAAGTGTATACAGAAGGATATGCACGGTCATTTACACAAAACTACAACGCTCAGAAACCAAATATCCTCAACTGATAAGCAACACGTAGTATGTCAAAGGTGATATAGAAAAAGTAAAAGGTAAGTAAACCAGAGTCAACTGTACTTAATTCCATTAAATAGTATTCTTAAAATCATACAAATTTTTCAATGTAAAATTCATAGTTCAATTTTAGGTTTATAAATTCTCCCTTGAAACAGCAAAGCAAAAAACCAAACAAACAAACAAACAAAAAAAGCCCACTTTAAATGATGAAAAGTGTTACTAACACTAAAGTTTTTATAGATGAAATGTGAAATATAGCTGAATTGGCAGATTACTAGAAATTAAAATTATATACCAGGTGCATTATTATAATATGTGTGCAACTGATGTGAAACAATCTTGTAGACAGTATCTTTAATGGTCTATTTTAGTGCATTTTTAAATACTTAAGTGACAAGGTTAGCATTTTTTTTTTTTTGAATACCCAGTCTAAAAAAAAAAAATGATTTTTCACGTAACTGCCTCTAAGCACTTTGCCCCCCAATTCATATTTAGAAAACTTCCACAAATGAACCTGAAGAAATACAGCACAATCTGGTCTAGAGTATTTCAAGAATGAAGGGACAAAAGCTACCTTAATGAGTATGCATGGGGCCATTTAGTTTTACCAATCAGGGAGTTATATATGAAAACTATAAAGCTAAATATTAATGTTCTTGAATAATGCCAACAAAGCTCTAAAAGCATAATTCTCAGAAAAATGTGACCGCAATAAATGGAAGAAGACTTTTCAAATTACAAGTATAAAGTATAAAATAATCTCTGAACAAGGGTTCAATTTGCTAAAATTCAAGTAATTTAAATTAGAAATAATATCAATGTATAGATAAAAAAAGTTAACATTTGTACACATTTGAGAAAAAATATAAGTAACAAATTCTTTGTAATGTGATACAAATACAGTAATAAAGTCTGCTGATAGTCTAATAAAAAAGTTCCAATGGGAATTAAGATATTCTTACACCCTAAATTAATAATACTGAATATATAACAATAACCCTCAATTTAAAATGAATGATCATCTACTTTCTTGATTTCAATTCTTTAAAAAATGATGAACATTTCTTCACAATTTTCTGGGGTTAAAAACTGAAACCAAACGCTGGTATTCTACAAGTAAATTCATAAAGAACCTAGTACAAATAGTTATTTACTTTGTCACTGGCCTTATACCCACTCAAATTTGCAAAGGGAAAATCATATTTATCCATATTCAACATCTATTAAAAAGTACATTAAAAAATAAATCTAGTTGTAATTAGATAATCTCCACAATGTGAAACAACTAATTCTAAAAGTTTCATATCTATGTAGACCAACCTACGTATTTTAAGGATAAAGTAAATGGAGGTTCATATACATCACCTCGCTAGCTTCCCAGCATCTTTCCTCACTGGTAAGTAAGAATGTCACCACCTTGACCCTTAAGGTTTCACTTCCTACTCTTAAAACTTTAATGAGTCATTCAACATTTCCTAACTATAAAGGCGTTGAAAATTTTCAAATAATGTACATACTACATTTATTATATGGCTACTGACCTTTCAGAAATTAGTATTTCTAACCTGTACTTGATTAAATATGTGGTTCAAATTGATCCAATTTACTTCTAAGCAGAAAATGGTTAACAGTTTAAGACATTATTAAGCAGATAACTGACAACTGATCAGCAGCTGATCAAAGTAGCTTAATTTCTTTATAAAGTTAAACCATAATTTGGGAGTGTGAGATATAGTTAAATATGCAACACATCTCAGTAAACTATTGAGAATTTTGAAGGAGAACCAATGGTCAAGGCTTGTCTAACATGCAAGACAGCAAATGATTCCAGAACCAATTTTCCAGTTTATTATCTTTAAGGGAATGAAATCAGAGGTGGAAAGCTAGCTATTTTAATTTACAACTATATTCATCAATGGTGACAGAAGAGTTCTTGGAAAACATTTTTATAGCAAGCATGTACACACAGCCAGTGCCTAATTTTGAGTGCTATGTAGGGTGATTTGTGGATATGTTAAATACATTTTTCAAAATATGTATATTTTAGTAACTCAGTTATCAGTAACGCATCACTCACAAAAATTTCAGCATTTGAGCACAGGATAAAATGAATACTTTACCAAGAACTGCTGGCACATTTCAGACAGAAGCCAAAACATGCAGCAAAAAGGGAAAAGGCACTAACAGAAATTGAGGAGAGAAAAACAAATTATAGCTCCATAACTTATTTATAGTGTAATTAAGAATGGATTCTTAAGTCTGTTCAAAGTGATCAGTAAATATTCAGTGGTCTACACAATGTATATATTACCTGCATGCTATCATTTCTCTTTACAAAAAAGTTAACTGACAATAGATTTTACATATGCATCCTGATCAAATTTATTATATACTAGTCAGTATAAAAATCATGTTTGCAGATGCTAACCAATAAAAAGCCCATAAATCACCTTAACTTTCAATGTAAATTCATCATCATTCACTATTAAGTCTCTAAGTTTCAGGAAAAATTTTTATTTTTTATATTATATATTCATACCTGCCATTGCAGCTGAAATCATGTGTACCTGGGTAGAATCTGGATCAAATACACCATTCAACTTTTCCTTGCAGTTTGAATAAGCAGCAAAATATATTGCTCTAAAAAAAATATTTAAATTTTATCAATAAGCATGTTGTTTAATTCACAAGATTTGAATGACATGTAAATTAATCTTTATAATTTTAGAGTAAAGAAACCTCAAAACAAAGTCTCAGTCACAATGTCATGTAAATTGTTACACTCTTACCATAAAGGCACTGAAGTACTTTATTATTGGCTCATTAAGAAAAAAAAAGCTCAGATGTAAAGTTGCTAGCATCTTCAAACAGAGTAATCCTAACACTCCAGCAGCAACTGACTGACAAATCAAGTGTTAGAAAGAGATTTTAATCATTGGAAAACCTACGAATAAGACTGGAAGGCTTTTATAATGCGATGGTCAAATTAAATACACTTGTGGAATGAGCACTTAAAACTGGTGGGGGAGGACGGTAGAAATGAATAATATGTACTAAAGTATATATTACAACAATTTGAGACTGTGGATATACTTAACATCGTAGTTCATGGGATCCTTAAAAAACAACTCCAGAAGAAACCAGTTCCATTAGATCAGATCTCGTTTGCCAGCATTTATAAACTTGCCGCTAAGTCTAAATATTTCTCCTATTAATTTATTAACTATGACTTCATGATCCCAATTACCTCATTATTTAGCTTGTACTGAATTACCGCTTATTGTTTCAAGCATCCTGCTAACTCCCAATAATCCTGATTTACAGACAAGAGTCTTGCTATTGTGTCTCTTATAATGTGCTCATGAAAAAAGGAAAGAATGTAATGTAAAATGCAACGATTTACTTTATGAGGGAAAAAAAGGATATTTAATGATCCCTAATCACTAGAAGAATATACATTTTTAGAAATAAGAAAAAAGATGCCACCTTGAGAAAATGAGACATATAGGCAATTCACCGAAGATATACAAGCAACAACTCAAGACAGAATGACTACAGCAAAAATTAAAAACAGTAAAAATCATGTTTGATCTACTTGACTAGTGTTAAAAGACATGGATAACAGTCAATGTTGGTGATATGTGAATAAAGTACTTAAAGTAAGTACTTAAAGTAAGTGTACAGCTATGTTCACAAAACTATTACTTTTAACAACAAAAATCTGGTAATAATTGTAAGGTATACCAATAAGGCAATGCTTACTAATGAAGGGATGGTCATATTACATAATTTAAAAAAAAACAAAAAACACAGATTTTCAAGGAAAAAATCTTCAAGTAGAATTTGGTAAAATATTTAATATGATGCAATTTCTGTAAGTGATAGGTAACAAATATTTTTAAGTGCATAAGCCATGAAAATTAATATACCAAACTATAATAACGGTGATCTATATGGAAAAAAAAATTGTGGGAAGGTGCATAGGAAGAGAGATGGTATGTTAAAGGTGGAATTTAAGCTATATTTTCAACATTTCCTTTAGTTTTTACAATGGGGGTGAAATTTTGGATGATTTCTCAAAAAAAGAAAAAGGCCCATAAAAAGTTGAAACCCAATGAATAATGAGACAAAGATAGAGACAATTGGGTATGCATTTTCATGCTGGTTGTGAATTGTACACAGTGACCCAGCCTGGAAGAAGTCAAAAGATAAAGCAATATGAGAAAAGTTAGCAAATTAATGAGTCAAGTTCTTTTGGCTTCTTTTTGGTAGAGAATGAAACTATATTATTTGTATGGTTTGTTCCATAAGCTAAGAATTAGGCAGAGTTCTAGAGATTCAGATCTTTACTTTTTACTGCTAGTCCCTTTCTCTTTTCTTTTTGAACCTGGTATAATCTGCACATTCTCCAAGAGGTTTACTGACACCTGCTACATCACAGCCACAAGTTTGCTTTACTTGTTTTTTTTTTATTTGCTTGTTTGTTTTATTTACCTGGAAGGGGCCACCCCCACTAAATTGGGGCCTAATCCTCTAAACAAAGAACGAGGTCCTTCTTTTTCCAAAATCATCCTGAAAAGGAAAAAAATATTGTTTAGAAAGGAACGTCCTTCAAAGTCTTGTACTTCATTTGTACCAAACTGAGACAGTGTAAGCTTCATGTACGTTATGATGCTCTATTTCGTTTTCCTTATTTAGGAAAATGTTTTTCTTGATATAGAATAAATTACTGAAAACTAACATATTTCCTTGTCATAATAAAAAGAACTCCATTCAGAATTTTGCCTAAAAATTTAAAAAACTAAGAATACCAATTTCTACATTTTCATGTCATGCTATTCTTTAATTACCTCCATTTTATCATCTTTACCTCTAAGTTCAATTACCAAAAAACATGGTTCCTTTCTAGTATCTGAAGGCCTTTTCTCAGTATTAGATAACCTCTTAGTACTACAGCATTACCTCATCCAACCATGTCAGTGAAATGCTATGGGAAAACCTGTCATTCAACATTGTTTAGGGGCACTAAAATAGTTGGCCTATTATTATTTCTCCTTCTACTCTGTTAACTAGACTAAGCAGAACAATTAAATGTAAAAAAGAGGGTGAAGAAATTTGTTGCCCAGTTGTGGAAAAAAGATTTTACTGACACAACTAATTTAACAGACCATACTAATTAAAGTCCCAAGTTCCAAGTTGTGGGATCTGACTTCTCAGTTACTAAGCCCAGTCTGGCTGTTGACTAGCTGTAAGAACAAAAAAATAATTACTTTTCTTTTACCCTTATTTTCACCAGCAAGTTTTTCACTAGGAAAAAAACAAAAACAAAACAAAACAAAAAACAGAACACAACAGTACTTTTTTTTTGTTACTGTATTAAATAAATTTATAAAGAGCTTGAAAGAATCTGACAAACAAGCCAGCACTTGACATCTCTTAGCTTCACTATTACCATTACTGCTACTTTACTACACTATTAGTTTATACATTGTTTACAATGTAGATTTCTCTCATTCTATCCAAAGTACCCTGATTGTCTAAGTATAGGACAATGTTTAGGTACCAGATTAAAAAGAAACAAAGTAAAAAATGACAAACTGTAAAGTACATTTTGAAGACTCTGTGACAGTTAACCATTTCTATATTGAAAGTCATTTTAAGAAATTAAAGAAGTTTTTTTTTTTAAAAAAATAAGACATTTGCTAAAACTCACTATTTTGCATATATTTTCATCTAATTTATAGACCACTACAGGTTTATCCACTAGCCACCTGAGTGACAATAAGAGCCCAAAGGAAACTCCTGAAGTTCCTAGGTAAGAAGTCATGAAACACTTCATGCCCACTAAGTATGTATATAATCAAAAGACAGAGTAACATGGGCTGGCAAGAATGTGCAGAAACTGATAATCTCATTCATTGGTGGGAATGTCAGCCACTGTGGAAAACAGTCTGGTAGTTCCTCAAAAATGTTAAACACAATTTACCTTATGACTCAGCAATTCACTTGCAGTATATCTTGGAGATATCAAGAGAAAAGACATCACATGTCCCTATAGGAACAGTATTCATAATACCCAAGAAGTGGAGACACCCCAAATATTCAGTAATGCTAGTGAGTAGATAAGTAAATTGTAGTGTTAACTATGGCAAGAAAACGACTGCAACATGACGAACCTTGAACAGTATGCTAAGGGCAAGAAACAAGACACAAAAGAACACATACTGCATAACTCCTCTTACATAAAACGCCTAGAAGAGGCAAATCTATAGTGACAGAAAGTAAGATTAGTAGTGGCCTAGTGCTCAGGGGGCGGAGGAATGGGAGAGAATGAGTGATTTCTTGTTGTGGGGATGGTGAAAAAGTACTATACTTAATTTAAAAGGAACAACTGAACTGTATACTTTAAGTGAAAGTTATAGTATGTATATTAACAAAATAAACATGTTGGAAAAGCAAACAAAACAAAGTAGGCAGTCATGAAACAGTTCCTGAATAGGGACACAATGGAAATAAGAGTGAAGGGATAGTTAGATGAGAATGCAGACTTTAAAGTCACCTGTATATTGATGACAGAAGAAATGCATTAGAGTGACTTCATATATGAGGACCTGAAAAACTAAGAAATTAAAACGAGTCCAGAGAGATTCCTACAGTTCCTGTAAGGAAAGTCAGAGAAGACACAAAAAACACTGAAAAATAGAAAACATGGGCCCTCCCTGATGGTGCAGCGGGTTAAAGCACAGCACTGAGAAGCTAAAGCCACTTCAGCATGAGTTTGATCCCTGCCTGCCCCAGAGGTGACCACGTGGTGCCGCAGACCTCTCCTAACCCACCCGCTGTTCCCCGCATCAGTGTACTTCATCAGTTGGCCTGTTCTGCTCCCCATGAATCCTCTCACTGCCCCTGCACCCCAGCTCTGTATGCATAAATAAATCTTAAAAAAAAAAAAAAACACATACATATACATTATATATATATACGTTTTCTAATTTTAAAATCTATATTATATATTTTATACACATAGTACTGTCATAAGTCTAAGGAAGAATTTTATGGAAAGGTACTCAGTAATGTTGAAATCAAGGTATGAAGGCACGCATTATTCAGAAGTATTTTTAACCATGGCATTTTATTCTATTCATGTACTCTGAAAGTTTGAAAAAAGACTGATGAAATCTTTTGTTAGTAAAAGTAAACACAGTATGCGTTTATTTGCTACAAAAATAAACACTACTGAACTAAGTTCAAATAGATTATGTCCCAAGTGAGCTGATAAGGCAGACATACAAGGCATTCAGTTACATACCTAAGTTTAAACATGTAAAAACTAACTGCAATAGATCTGAAATGTTAAACCAAAAGTTAACATAATGAAATTTGGTAAAATAGAAAAACACATCTTTTTCAAATGGTCAAGATATTTCAGAGAAAAAACAAGTCACATTTTAAAATATGTAGAAGCTTACTTTAAAACTTAATTATGTTTCAGTCATAGGAAAATCAGACTGCCATTAATAGGATGCGCTTAACTTGTATGAATACTTTAGAAAACTAAAAACATATTCATGAATCAACATTTATCATCACTGCACAAAAATAAGTAATCCAGAAAATACCTATAATAGCTTTATAAAAGAATATCCATCAGATAAATGTAAAAAAATATTCCAAATACACACGATTTGGAAATAACATTTTATATTATCCAAATAACTATTCTTCTACATTAGGCATTATCATTTCTAATGAATATAACACAGAGAAACTACCACTAAGTTTGTCAAGAACCTCTTAATATGTGGCAGAATATAAATAACCAACCATAGGCATCACCAAAGTAGGCACTAAAAAAGAACCATGAATACTGTGCTCTCACTTTAAGCAGTGGAGTGGTCCAGGAGACATTACTCGGTTGACACTTGCTCCAGCCACGGTGTTCAGCTGAACTTCAGAGATATAAAGTGTCACAGAAGATGACTGTAGCCGTGTTTTTACAACTTCCAGTGGACATGTCAGAATAGCTCCCACTGTACCACCACATCTGCCAAAACAATGAAGAGAACAAAACTTAAACCATTTAAATTATCAATTAGGACACATACATAAAGCTGATGAAGTGGGTTTTTTGGACAACATACTACACATTCAACATATTACACATTTCTTACTATAGAGGACTAAGTGATTTTTTTTAATGTTTCATTTACTGGCCTGCATTCAGACATATTTTATAGCTAAAAAGAACTAAGGTTTACTATCTACCTAAGAAGAATAAAATTAGCTAAAGAAAATTCCAAATAGTACATGTTGTTACTAGACTTTACTGATAAGATACACACTGCAGTTTTAAATATTGTTCTAAGAGCTTATTTGTGCTCCTTACCCAGATATTATGGTTCTGTTAATACCAAGATCATTATTTAAGTCCTATCCTTTCTCTTAAGCTCCTATCATCTTTCAAAACTTCAGAAATGATCTTTGCAACAGTTTGAAATAAACACTGATGGATATTAATTCATATTTCTCCTACTTTAATATCCAAATATTCAGAATGTTTTAGATTTAAAAAATGACATTTAAGACTAGCAATTATTACCTGTTAAGACATATATGTGATCTGTATAAAGTGGACAGACTAAAATAATCAAATTTAAATACAAAAACGGATGAACAAAGCAACAAAATTGAATTCTTAAAGTATGGCATCATCTAATCATTTTAAACGTATGTAAGAGATAAACTGCGTAATTTTTCTTTATAACAGTGGGGAAAGAGTTTAAAGCATTCATAGCTGTCCAATAAAGTTCTGAGAAATACTTTCTAGCCAGAGGAAAACTGCCTGGCACAGGTCTTAGAGTACAGTGAAAGAGAAAAGCAGATTAAATCAGAATAACATTTTAGACCCCAAAGTGATTAGAGGAAGAAAAAAAAAAATGCAGCCCCCTCACAAAATATTAGCCTACCTCCAAAATTTAGAAAATGTATTATGTAAATTATATAAGGAAAGCAAGACTATCAACATCACTCCAAATAAAATTTAAGTCATCATAAAGAAGGAAAAAACATTAAATAAGATACTAATTTGATGAGTACATGTCATCAAGAAAATAAAACTGAAACAAACTTTCTTTATAAAAAAATAATCAAAACTGTATACAACAACTTAAAAAATGCATCATGGAATTAAATGTCATTCAAGAAATACAAGGTCAATGTAACATATAACCTAGCCATACTGTGCACAATAAAGTAGGCACTGACCAGTTGTTTAACAAAATATAACTACAGATTGAGAGAATGGAAAGATGAAGGAAATAAGGAGCAGTATAAAGAACTAAATCCTCATTTACCAGAACAGGCAGTATGAAAGAAAAACCCAAAATAAATAGCTAAAATAGGATGTTTCCACTGGGAAGTAGCCATGGGATAGGGCAGCTACTAGGGGATGCTGTTTTATATTATTTCAGCAGTTCAGTTTTTTTTTTTTTAAACCACATGTATACATTTACTTTTAAATTATTTTTTTAAAGGCTTATTTATTTATGCATACAAGAACTGGGGTACAGGCCAGAGCTGTGAGGAGGTGGGTGAGAGGACCCACCAGAGACAGAAAGGGGAGCAGCAGAACAGGCAGAGTGACTTTAACACACTGCTAAGGGGAGCAGTGGAAAGGCCAGAAATCTGCCAGGTCATGTGGGTCACCTCCCTGGCCAGGCATGAAACTTGAACTCCCTGTGCCACCAGGGAGACCCCTAAATAGTATGTATTTTTAAGTGGAGAATATATGGTTGATAACTTTTTTCAGAGATAGCAGATTTACTGAAATACACTGCTAAGGGGAGCAATGGACTAGACTCCACTGAAAAAATGTGTATAGTGTGCTCTTTAACCCAGAGCTCTAGAGTGAATTCTGAATACAGTCTAATTCTCTCCATTTCTACCCATCTCTGAGTCACTTGATTTTACGAGGTTACTGTATTATCCTTCTAATTAATTACTGTCTCCCTGCGTGCCCTACTCCCGCCAATCAATCTTCAGTACCCAGAGTAATTACATTAAAAACCTCTATTTCTTCACCTAGCTCTTTTCTTCCTTTTTGTCAGTGGCTTTCAAATCTTTGACTTTAACCTATGAGAAATATTTTACATCAAGGTGCAATATGAGGCTAAGAAATTAGGAAGAGGCAAGGAAGGATTCTTCCTTCGAGCTTTCAAAGGGAACACAGCTTAGGATCTGTAGCCTCTAAAACTGTGAGAGATTAGGTTTCTGTTGTTTTAAGTCAACAAGCCTGTAGGACTTTGTTACATGAAACACAGTAATTTTAGTCACATGTTACGGTCTATCTTCTACCCAGGCCCTGACTATGTATCTTATAATATGAAAATGAGAGCAATAACAAATCCTGTATCCTTAACACTTGGAACAGTATCTAACACATAATTAGCACTCAATAAATAGTGGAAAGAAAAAAAAAACATGCAATATATTTACATGCATATAACAAACATTTTCTAAAATGCTATTTGCCTTTGTTATATACAATACACTAATATTTTAAAAAAGTTGGTCACAAACTAAATTGATTTCATAATCTACTAATGGGCTGTTATCCACTTTGATACACACTGTTCCGTATTAATTACATGCAATTTAATCAGAAAGAGCAGGGAAAATTTTTTCTTCTGTTTTATTACACATTTTATGTAGCTTGTGAGTAGAGGTATTTCTATGGACTAGTCAATTTCATTCAAGATTAAAGCAGAATGCTAAAACTAGAAGTTGGGGACAATGCATTTTTAGCTTCACAAGAAAATACGTAAGAGCCCAAGTTAAGTAAGCATACACTACTTGTCTCATTAATGAGTCTGCAAGATATGGATAACAGAATTCTATATAAATATAGTAACATTTAAAATTATTTGTCTTATTCCACAAGAAAAGTTCATTAGCAATGAATATTGATGTAAATATTTTAATGCTTATAATGAGCAAACTCCTCATGAACATAGATCCATATAATATAATGCTTTAAAATATAGCAAGGTATAAATGTAGAATGCACCAAGGCTGACAAGAATCCAGAATCAAAAAGGGGAAGAGGGTCTCCCTGGTGGCACAAGAGGTTAAGTGTCAGCACTATAAAGCTATCTGCAGATCCTTGGCCATGAAGCTAACCCACATGGTGCAGACCTCTCTAAGTCTCGCCCACTGCTTCCCACCCGCCTCCCATTCTCAGCAGTATATTTTAGTAGATTCACCTGTTCTGCTCCTCACTGTCTCTGGTGAATCCTCTCACCCTCCTGTACTTTGGGCCTACACCCCAGTGCTGTATGCATACATAAATATTTAAAATAAACAGAGGGTAAGAATATGGAATGGAATAGGCTGTGTAGAAGATTCTGCCATTTGCAAAAAAATTAATGAACCTGAAAGACATTACACAAAGAAAAAAACTGCATGATCTAGCTTCAATGTGAACTCCAACAAGGTGGAGCACATTGAAGCAGAAAGCAGAACACTGGTTATGGGTTGGGGTAGAAGATAGGGAAAATGGGAAGATGCTGGTCACAGGGCAGAAAACTATAGTTAGGTAACACAAGTTAACTCGAAAGATCTAAACGATCTAATGTGGAGGCACAAGTATAGCTAATAATACTGCACTGCGTACTGAAAATTTGTTAGAAGTGCATTTCAGGTGCTCGCATCATTCACAGAAAAATGTTAACTACGTGAGATGATGTTAATTCAACTACAGTAATCATTATACTATGTATATTCAATCTTCATACAATTAAAGGGAAAAAAGGTGGCATGTAAAGAAGCTCCCATTATTGAGCTAGGAGTTACTGAAAACAAACAATATTAATTGAAATAGAGTAAAGGGATACGGAGTTTTATTGATATGCAACTATCTTTAAGTCTTGCTGGCTCTACAGTCTATAAACTTCCTCTCATGTTTCCTCACCATCAACTCTCCAAACAGGCTCTCATTTCATTTATTGTCTTCAAACTGGTCCTGAATCCTTCTAAGTCAGTGATGTGGTCAATGCATTAAGATAATCAGTTGCAAGGTGTCGCCAATGTTATTTGCTATCTCTAATAAAGCTGGACGCTTTACCTTAAATGCAGATAATCCAAAGAGAAAACAGCCAAATTTGATAAGCCTATCGAGTCCATTATTCTGTATAGAAGGGCCAGTGTATTATGAATCTAATAAGCCATTAAATGTCACTCTTGTACACAAGTTAGATAAGAGTGCCCCAGCCACATATTCTCAATTAAACTACTTGGATCAGTGCTTATTTTAGTTTTATAGACAAATGTCATACATTCAAAAGATTATGAGAGGGCCAATGTTGCCTGGTGAAAGTCATATAATCACATTAACTATGCAATGATTTTAGAAAATATTTAAGGATTGTTTAATTTGGTTATCACTAAACACCTTTGTAAGACATTTAAAGCTACTCCATTTTTATGATGTATGCCAGATTGCATAAATAAATTAAGTCACCCCAGGGAATTTACTGGAACCTAGACACATTTTAGTACATGGTTATTAAGGAATGTAAATGCTTAAGAACTTTCTAGTGTTGTTTCTATTTGTTTATGATATAAAATGAGGATATAAAATATGAGCCTCTGGATTACTAAAAGCTACTTAGAAGAGAACTTTTCTTTTTTAAGTTAGGCACAAAGTAAATAAGAGATTGGTTAAAAAAAAAAAAGCAAAAAATAATTACACAAATAGATCTTGTAAAAGGCAGGCCTCTTGGGGGCACCAAAGTGCTCTCCTTTATCCAAATTATGGCAACACAGGAATCAGAAGTTTGGAGAGGATGAAGAGGGGGAAAAAACTGCTCACCAAGTAAATATGAATAGCTAGCAGATCAGTTTCAGCCACGATGCCTAGTCATAAATCCCTAGAGGAGGTGTAGAGACATAGAACCCTATCCGCTGGACAGCACTAAACTACTGAACCATTAGAGCCAGTTCCTTTGCTTTAAAGGACTTCTACTAGCCTCATCTGGAGAGATACAC